AAAGAATTATAATTATAATGTTCGAGAGGGAAAATTTTCTCTAATGAAAGTGACTTTCAACAAAGTTCTCCAGAGAATATAGAAGAAGATAAAGCCCAAGAAAATAGGAATGAAAGTATAATTGTAGAGAAAAATGAAATGGAAAACATTCTCACGAATTTAAAAAATTCCAGACAGACACGATAATTACATTATATTGACAATTTTGAAAGAAAAACTTAGTTCTGACAAATGAAAATAAAAGAATACCAAAGAAACTAAAATGTTGTCTTCAAAGAAAAACTGAGTTTTTAAAATTGTACCAGAGTACGGAGTGAAAGATAAGAAACTCAATTCAGAAATTTACGCTGATGAGACTGGTAGCAATGAGAACAGAATCAACAAAAGATTTGAGAGGAAATTGAAGTCACCGTAAAAGGAAGACAAAAAGGTTTATCGGATTGGAAATAATTAATAAACTTCAGTAATACTACATCAGAATTCACAAATCAAGAAAATTCTACATAAGTTCTGAATAGCATCGTGTAAATTAGTTCCCGCTTTTGATGACTGGTGATGTATTGATGAATGTTGACAGAAGTGGCTGCATCATTTACTACGCAACCAATTGGAGAGAATAGATTACCGAACGCGGTGACTTACGGCTGTTTTTGAGTAAATTCGAACCTGATATTAACAGACTTGTTAAAATTCATCAAATTTATCCTTCACATTAGATTAGTTTCAAAATTCAAATTCAAATGTTTGTTTTAATAACATGAATAAAAGTTTTCCTAATATTACAAAATGGTGTTTTACATTACCCTCATCAGAAAGTCTTATTTTCACATGACACACATAATTTAATTATTAAAATAATGACTGCCATTGTGATTCTTAAGATATAGTAGAGTAAAATAATTGGGGGGCGGGGCGCTACAAAATAATTAATTCCGAAGTGGGCGGTGGACAAAGAAAGTTTGAGAACCTCTGAGATAAAGCAATATCGAAATCGCACCTCAAGAAGAACTCGGGCGTGAGCTTCGGCAGGAAGCGAGACGTCATAGACCGGGGCTATAGGGAAAATCTGTTGGAAGGAGGGTTATCCGTTAACACTAGCGGGGGCGCCTCCTACTGACCAATCGTGGGACTGTGTGGCGGCGTGTTTTCTACCGTCGTCTTATTAGGCTCAACAAAACAGTCATCTTTCTGCCATTTTCCCTCTATAACTATCCCCCTTACTTTATATATGATCTAATATAGTGCAGGTGACAGTGCAGGAATATTCACCGAAGTTATTCATGCATATGCTGTTGCACACCGGTTTCAGGCTGTTTTGCCACTCGTCAGTGCAAGGTAGTGTATATCCTCAACATTAAGTCGATGATTTCCCATAATTAAAGATTGAATTCCTCAGAGAGTATCATTCCTCGAATTAGGCTGAAGTGAACGACAAACAACTATTTGGTCATCGCCCCATATGCCTGTGAACGAGGTGACCAACCGCATATCCGAATTTGCCCAATTTCTCATGTAAGGAAAAAAACTTCACATTTTTGCAGTGACGAGTGGCCAAACAGCCCGAAACCGGTCTGCAATTGGGCTCCAATAATTGAAAATCGATTCCGGCAGTTGCATCGCCAACAGCATATGCAGGAATACCTTCAGTGAAGAATCCTGCACTGACACTTGTCGGATATAATCTAATGCCCTTCGTGGTATTAGCCAAGGAAGTAGTTTTTTCTGATAGGTGTCAGTCCTTTAACCTATAATATAGGTAAGTTGAGACTGGCCTGAACGAATTGTTCTTTCAGATAATATTCTTTTCCATTTATATTACCATGAATTGAACTGCTACTTGATTGAGTATTTTGTTGATAGCGACCCAAAATGTGTGTTTCAAATGGTTTGTTTTTTATCTGTAATTCACACGACATNTTACACGAATTTCAGAAAATTTTGTTAATTAACAATTATCTACATTATTGAAAAATAACTTTAATGAAAAATTCCAATGGAAATCTGTTCTCTATGGTGTTTAGATTATATCATAAAATATATATAACCCTACTTTCGTATGTGAGAGAATGTTTTTGTAAATATGTAGCGTTGTAATCAAATAGACAACTGAAGAATTTTGTATTTTGGTTATATCTCGAAGTATCAACAACGCACATACCACTGATGATTGCTGCCGCAGTAGCAGACGAAATATTTGATGACAAGCCCGGATTGGGTTCTCTCCAATTGTGACCGGCCGTAAGAGATAATGTTCTCAAATCAACCAATTGTTTCCTCGAGAACTGCTGAGGCCAAATTCATAGCAGTTAGTGGATGTGTGAAAGAAGTGATTTAGAAAATCAAAATTCAATCAGTATGATGAAAAGTGTTTGATACACTGTTCTTCAGAATGACTTCCAGAAAAAAACTGAAAAAAAAAGTTTTATCAAAACAACTTTTTTTACATGAACACTGCGTTATACGAAAGATGTAATTCTTCTGGAATAATCTCAATAAAAGCAAAAGCCTCAAAATGTTTCTCAGTTACGAGTTATCATTGATGAAAATATTGTATACTAGTAATTTTTCACAAATATTGTTGAAACCTAAGATAAAATTATTTTTCCTTCAATTTGGGTACATTTCAAGTATACCACATGCAATTTTTGTGGGGTTATCGAAAATCTAAAATATACACCAAAAGACCCAAACAATATCAAAAGGTCAAGAATCAAAATTAGAAGAGAGTTAGAAAGTATCACTCCTATCACTATTCAAGATATTATCGATAACTTCCAGCGGAGCCTCGGCTATTGTCAGGGAACAAACAGCATAAGGCGTGATATACTCTGACAAGTTTTATTACTAGCGCGTTTGATTGTAGAAATAACGATGAATTTTTCAAATAACACAATGACAAGATATACAGTGCTTTCTTTAATGTCCCCTCCTTTCATTTTTGAACGGATCAACTCAAAAAATTTAAATTTGGAATAAAGAAATTTATTTAATTAAGTAAAGTGAAACTAACAGATGAAACTTTCAAGATGGCGACTGGGTGCCACCTAGGAAAAAAAATTAAATGGAAAAGGGGGTCTTGTGACACATCATTTTGAAGCTCCTGACGAATACTTCATAACCCAAGAATATGAAGTCAATATATTCACCTACTACATAATAATTTCCTGAAGACAAACACATTAATATCGATATTTCGGGAATTATTCCTTTTTATCTGCCATATGGCAATTCCAACAACCCGATAAGGTTTGTTGAGTTATTTTTTGTTTATGAAAACGACAAAAAATGTCAGTACGACAATAAACATTGTTCAGTTGAAATATTCTCATTTAGTTTTCGGTTTAACTTGTAGAAAGATACCACGTCAACAATCTCTAAAATGGTCAATTCTCGTCCATCGGAAAAAAAAATTTAAGCGATTTTTATTTACGGTGCGATGCGTATCTTTCAAGAGACCGAAAGAATTTTCAATGAACGTATTCCGAATCGTCCTTTCTATAGAAAAAATTCACAACTACCAGTAGTGTATATAACAAAAAGCCCCCAAGTCATCCGTCCAATCCGGAAGAACAGCAAGTGCAAATAATTGGTGAGATGGTAGTAAATCCTGAACAGTCTACTTATTTCGTCGCGAATGTTTGTGAGGTATCTCCTTCTGCTGTGTGGAGACTTTTAAAGAGGAATATATTTCATCCATACAAAATTAAAATGGTACCCTAATTAACTGAATATGACCCTGATTGAAGAACAGAATTCTGCGAAATCATGACGGAAACCGTTGCAAGGCATCCTACCTATCTCCACAATATTTGTTTTAGTGATGAATGTACATTTTTTTAAACGGCAATGTTCACAGAGAAAATTACCGTTATTGGAGTGTCACCAATCCTCACGTTTTATGGGAAACACATACCCAATATCCAGAAAAAATAAACGTTTGGGCAGGAATATTGGGAAACCATATTGTAGGACCTCTATTTATTGATCAAAATTTAACAGGGGAACTGTATTTGAATATGCTGGAAACTACTATCATCACTGAAATCGTCGAAGCGAATTCTAATGAATTCGATATGGATATTGTATTTCAACAAGTTGGAGCACTACCACATTACTCCAGACAAGTAAGAAACTATTTGGATACTACTTTTCTCGGTCGTTGGATTGGCCGTCGAGGTCCTACAGAATGGCCAGCCGCTCGCCAGATTTGACACTTATGGACTTTTTTATGGGGTTATTCGAAGCATAAGGTGTACGAAACTCAACCTGCTTAACTACTGTATATACGTCAGAGAATAGTAAATATTTATAGAGATATTGACGTTACTGTGTTCGAAAATGTTCGACGTGTATCGGATAGGCTGTCAAGAAGTTCAAGACAATCATTTCGAGCATCTTCTGAACTGACCTCAAGCTTATTACCTCATATTATGTAGTTAAATGTCAATGTATTCAGGAAATTATTAAAAGTTTTACCATTTGGTAGTAGTTGAAGATATTGACATTACATTTTAGAGTTGTGAGCTTCAAAAAAGATGTTTCACAAGACCCCTCAATTTTTTTCGCAGATGGCGCCCAGTCGCCATCTTGAAAGTTTCATCTGTCAATTTCACTTCAAAATAAAGTGTTATTTTCATTATCTCACATTTAAATTTTTTGAGTTGACCCTTTCAAAATATAAAAAAGGGGGAACTTAAAGAAATGCACTGTATAATTAAAAACCCTTTAAAATGAGATAATACTTGATACCTCTATTTCAATTCATATGTCACGTCAAGGAGATGGGAGTTTCTTGAAAAAAGCAAATATCATAGAAAATGAATGAATTTGCTTCTTATGTATGTAATGTGTGTAATGTATTGGTAGTTGTTCTGAGTCAGAGATGGTTGAATATACAGCCAAATATTCATATAGATAGACAGTAGCTCCACTGGTGGATTACTTAATCAAAGCCGATTGGAAGGCCACTTCAAAATAACATGATCTTTATTCTGTTTCAGATTTGTTGAAAAAATCACCATCTGGCAGAATAATCTTCACAAGTTCATTACTGTCCTATTTCAATAACTTCTTTCCGAATGATGTGAAAAATGGACAGATAAAGGAGAAGATGAGGTTCTTCGATTATCCGAATTCCAAATTGATGCAAATAGTGGCATCTGATATTTTTGCCAAGAAACTGAATAAATTCAACATAACTTCAAATGCTTACCACCCTGGGGTTGTGAAAACACCAATTGTATCACAAATTACCGCATTCTTGAAGAAACCTTCCAAAATTTTTCAATATTATTTACTGAATATACTCGTAACTCTGTTTGGCAAGGTAAGATCCATTATGAATATGAATATCAAAATGAAATAATAGTCATTCATCATAGTAACACCTTATCATATAATCGAAATGACTTTCCTGAAAATTCCACACCTGTAATTTTGAACCAATCAAAATACGTTATTTTGACAACCATGACACCATGGCAAAGGAGGTATTTTAGTGGATTTTTTTTACTTGTGGGATATCCAACAGCGAATTATACTAGAAATGTTTTGACGTTAATAATAACAAACCATTTTTGTCAAATTGGTTTTTATTTATTCACATAATATTCAGTTTTGATACATTTTAATTACAAAGCTGAGATGTTTAATGGCGAAAATGCAGGACTTTGAATGTTTTCAATTTATTCACCTTTTTCCCATTAAGTACCTTCAATTTTGCGTAGTTCAGATGCAAATATTCGTGGACAATTCGGAACAATTTATGATGCACTGTTTGTAAGCTTTGGTGTAGTAATGCATATTACTGGAGTTTTTCCCCAACACCAAATCGTTATTTTCAACATCTCGACACGTGTTTCGATCACGCTGGTTATGAATTTTATACCATTAAAGCGCGCATAACCCACATTAATAAAAACGGGAAAAAACATTTTCTACCTCTTGTAGTTACTCAAAACTTATGTAAAATTGAAGAATTCACTATTTTCTATCTTGAAATGGTATTCCCATGCAACTACAATGAGTAGAAATTACCAATTTGAAGGCCTAAATAATTGCTGCTAAAGCTATGACGCGCTGTGAATCTGTTTATGCAGTTTCCCGAAAAACCTCTAAAATTATAATTTTCTACCACTTTAGTAAGCTCAAGTAACTATAAACTGAAAAAATATTATATTTTTTGTCCGTAAGTGCACTTTTGAGCTACTACAATCAGTTGAAATCAACAGTTTATAGGCTAAGAGTCCTTTGGTGTGAAGACAAACTGAATATTATTATGTAACCTGTTCCTGTAGGTATGAAACTACAATTTTTTTCATTTTCTACCACTTATAATATCCCGAAGTAAAAAAAAATCCAAAGAATGTAATATATTTCATTATAAAACTGCATTACCGTGTAACCCCAATGAGTAGAAAACGATATCTTAAAGGGCAGACTGAGAAGCCATTATATGGCCAGTGCCGAAACTGCAAAGCACATTAAATTTGATGTAATTATAACAACCACTTGTAGTAATCCAAAATTGATATAAAATAGAAGAAAATATTATATTACGCTTTATTGCCATTTCCATGCAACTATAATGAATGAAAATTTCAGAATCGTCGAAGGCTTGTAACCCATACCTAGAAAATGATAACGAAACTTCGCCGCAATGTAAATTCATTGTATTTGGCTAGTGATAATAAATCTAATTATTTATATTAATGTTTATATGGGAAACGCAATTATTATAAACTCTGGCATGTTCATTGGAAGTAGTTGCTTGTTCTTAATTCAGAGATTTGTTAATCTTCTTTGCCTAAGTTGAAACATAACTCATTGCGTCAATTATTTCCTGATGATGGCCCGAGTCTATTTGCAGATATGGTTTTATTGAGTGGCTGTTATCATGACCAGTTATTTTAATCAGTGGGTCTTACAGAATGATTTATTATTTTGATTTTTTAAACATCAATTCCAATCAATGATGCAGCTGATTTGAACCAGGAAGATATTGTATTCTGTCCAACTGTACTGTTCTTGTACCAGCCTTTGGAACTGAGAGTCTTCCAGTTTGGATTTGGCGTGAAAAATAAACGCTTCGTTTTCATTGGGCCCCGCTTGCTTGTTAGTTTTTTGAACAGTCTCACTGGGCATATTTCTTCACCTAGTGTATTCGGTACTAGCCACTTACTGTCAGCCATTTTCTTTGAACCGCCTTGGGTGGTCTTGGAGAAAACCGGGTTATACTCAAGGCGGCCTGTTGCTTCCCCTCTATTGTCAATTTGTTTCACAAAATATTTGAGTTGTGCTGCCGCTCCTTCATTTTCTCTCCCGGCCAATTCATGACCAGCAACGTGGAAAAACTTTTCTGTAGTCCTTCCGGAGTGTTTTCGTCTGCAGATGAACTTTCCTTTCTCTTGGTTGGATCCATTTGTAGTTTCCTGCGCTTAGCATTCTTTGCAGCTCTTGCGTTCAAAAATCCTATGTCAGAGAATGGATTAAATTTTCGATTATACTTTTCAAAAAAATATTCTTGCAACTGCTTGGCTGTGGAATTCCATAAAAATTTGATAACACTCTCCTTGTAGTCTTCGGATTTCTTTTTTCGCATGTTGAACCCAAAGTCTTCAAGAATAAGCGCCAGTTCTTCCTCAGGTATGTCCGCTCTATCGAATTATACAATTTTTCTGCGCAAAAGTTTGTACACTTCCTCCATACGCTTGACTTCGATTTCCTGGTATTCACGGATGTCAACTGCTCCTGACGAATGTTTTCTTTACTTTCTTGACCGAAGCGAAACATATTTTTACGTTGTGCCCCTTCAAAACTGAAATAATTTCGA